GACGGGGAGGGCCTACCAATATAAAATTGTTCTCCAATTCAATTGTAACCTGTCAGTCAGACTAATTCAACTTCTGCAAGTTTAGTATAGTGCAGTTGTCTTGCAGTGAGTTTTAGATGTGTTTTGGACTTGTTTTACATTCATTACCGTTCATCCTTAGAAAAGGTATGTTTGTTGTAAGTAGCAGCCCATTTGTCTTTTATGTTTATATCTTATCTGCCATTATTGTAACAGTTTGTACATTGTGTTATCAAAGTATGTGCATCCGGCCTTAGCCATGTTGTTCTAAATTTCCGCTGGTGGTTAAACGTCTAATTGTAATAATGTGTAGAGTTTGTGTGCTTCAACAATTGCATTTAACCATTCCATTCAGCTCATTTAGCTGTATTTCCTTCATTGTATTGACAATTGCCTGGATAATTAGAAACATGCGGAGGGCACAAGTTTCCTTCTCAGGTCTGCTGTGGAAGCAGGGTGTAACAGTTTCCATGGAACACCATACTGCTAGATGGAATTTTAAGGCTATCACAACATGCTGCTATAAAAAACAAAGCAGAGGGTTCTAGTAGGAAATAAAATACTGCTTTTCTCTAATGTCACTATCTCCATTCAAGCCAGAAGTATAACTGTGCTATAAATCAATCCCAGTCTTCTGTATATGACCTATTCCATTGTGGTACCTTGGGTCTAGTGTAAAAATAGGTTATTGCTTTCAGAGTAAGCCTATGCAAAAAGAATGAAGTGATGGTTTAAAATGAACCAAAATGATATATGGAAAACTTTATAGAATAGCTGAAAATCTTGTTCCTGTAATGAAGAAAATGCAACCTCTTGCCAGTGGTCTTTCACATGATCAATGCCACAACTTTTTGCTGATCTCATATGATTGTGGGTTGACCGAACAGTCCTATGTTATCATTTACCATTGCATGAGCAGAAACAGAGCCATTGGTCCTGTCAAATTTCAGGTGGTTTGTCTTTAAAATCGTTTGATAGTCTTAAAAGATTAGCCAGGCATGATATTTCATTTCATAGGTGGAGTCACCAGTGGACTCCAGTGCTGCAGTCTCCCAGCTATGGGAATGCTTGTAATGGTCACAACTTCTAGGAACTCTTAACACAAAGATTTCTCCACCAAAGTTCCTCAGAGATTAAGGAAACATTGAGGTAGTTTATCTCCCGTGTCTACCAAAAACCGAAACTCGCTGGCTATTACTAGACTGTATAAAGCTTATCCCTAGTCTTGCTTTACTGCTTATAGTGACCGATCGCTGATGCACATTCCTATTAAGCCCAATGACTTATTGACAAGTGTTGAAGGCAGAAATAAGGATGTTAGCCCTCAAAAATAAGTTAGCAATGGCAGATTTCATATTTCTTTCTTGACAAGTTCCTTCACAGTAAAGATAAGCTTTGCCCTTTATGGTACCTCCAGCCCAATCACTGAAATAGTTATGTGTATTCCAGGTGTAGCACAGCATGTAGCTGGTATATGTCACACACTATTAGAGCTGTGAATGGCCTGTGCATAGATAAATGGATGTCATCAGCTGGTCATTTACTTTGAGCCATTCTTTCCTCCTGTCTTCTGAACTTGAATGTCTCCATTGTGCGATCCGGTCTTGGAGGGAGGTAAAGCAGAGTCTGCTGGTGCTGCATTAAAGATCCCAAGATGCTTACTCATGACCCTGTTCAGCTGAATTGCACTTACTTGAGCTCGTTAGTTGTGCATGCAGAACATTTTCAGTGCAATATCGTATACACATCCCTTTTGATGTTGTTCTGGTCGGGGGACTCTTTGCTATTTGCTCTCACTGGACGTACCCTGGAGACTACAGATGAAATGTAAGAAGATAATTGAATTCCGCTCTGTTCCTCCACATAATTACATCAGACAGGATCTCTGAATGTTGTTTGATACTGAAGGAAATACTTTGAAAACTTAAAGCAAATGGTTTAGATTTACTCTAGCAATGACGGCTTTGTTAACACTTTTCAGAAGCTATGTTGCATCATATACATTTTTTCCTGGCTTTGTTGCATGCAAAAACGTGAGATGCCAGCAGAAGAGTTTTATGCTTTATAAATGCCATTGGCCTGGTCCCTACCTAATAGCTAACAACTTCTCACTGCCATGTCTGATAATCTATTGACAGTGGCATTGTGACATTAACACCCATTTGACCATAAGAAACCATATCTGTTTAGAGGAAGAATGCAGCTAAACTCATGATGCAATCATCACCAAACTCTAGGAAACTGAGATTTGTTTAGTAGCTTTGGGTATTGAAACTTTACGCTTGAGCTCTGCAGTGCTTTAATAATCATTATGGTCTCAGAAAGTGTTGGGAACTAAATGACTGCTAGTTTTCCCATAAGAGGCTCTCCAATTGCAGGGAAAGGATTTGTTGTATTACCGTAAGTGGGTTCAGCATCTACTCATATAAAATTATATTCTGATTTTAACTGTGTGTGCAGAAATGCATTTCTGTATGTACAGGAGTCATCCCTGGTGACATCTGTATCCAAGGGAGCTCTAGTTTGCTGACCTAATTAATCCACCCCGACTGATAACACCCTATATCAGAGGACTGTCATCAATGGTGTCTGCTAAAGTCTATTAATTTTAGACATTTGTTGCTTTCCTTTCTTCTGCTTTTTTGCCTTGTATACAGTATATGGGTCACCCGTAGAATTTCTACCCTGGTCTAACAACTTCACGAGATATAGTAGAAATCATTGCAAAAGTATGGTGCGTATTGAACGCAGGGTGAAGCAGTGAAGCTATCATAACATTGCTGCCAGACAGGTCTTGGTGTACCACCATAGCATGTTTGGCCACCCAAGGGGAAACAGGTCCCAGAATTAGGCTCCAGACTTTAGACACCTGGCAGATCTGTGTCCAAGGTATTTTATGACTACACATACAAAGACCCTAAAGGGCCAAAACCAGACTGTCCAGTTCAGAACAGGTGGAATCTTACATGCTATTGGCTCACAGAAGTACATAACTGGTTTATTTCTGTGTTGTCTGCGTTTGGAATTGAAACAAATGTTTAAAGGGTTTTGAACATGCCCGGGCATGTCAATGCCCAGATGTTCAACACCCTTTAAACATTTGTTTAAATTCTAAACGCAGACAACACAGAAATAAACCAGTTATGTACTTCTGTGAGCCAATAGCATGTAAGATTCCACCTGTTCTGAACTGGACAGTCTGGTTTTGGCCCTTTAGGGTCTTTGTATGTGTAGTCATAAAAGACCTTGGACACAGATCTAACCTTGTGCCTGTTACAGGTTCTATAGCTTTTTACATCTTATTTTTCTTCTTTTCAATAATTAATCATCTCTTATTTACAAGTCTTTTTATGATTGGCCAAGTCACAGCTGAACAACATGAATGTCTGTATCTGTTGTGTTTTCATGAAGCCACTCCAACCAAATGTTTTTAATGGAATGGAGATGGCTTATTACATCAGCCAGGTTTTTAGGTGTTTATTGCTGTGCCCTCATTGGAGAGATCTCCCTTCACTTCCTGTGCTGGTGAGAGGTACATGAATGAATAGGAAATTGCTCCAATGGAGACACAGAGAGCAGGAAAAACACTAGTATTAGAGGAGGAACGGTTTGAACCTCTGTGAGCCTCTTATTGCAGTCTGTGCCTTAATGTATGGGTAACCCTCATTTCTCCCACGACTTGTCTACAGATGTAAGAGGTGATGCCATAAAAACTAACGTTCTGACCATATTGTATGCAATTACAAATTAAGGGTTTTAGCTGGATTTGTGTTAAAAACATTTACAATAGTTATTATATATATTTTGGCTTTCTTTTCAAATCTCTTATTTTCGTTCTCCAATAACAATTTAATCAGTTGCAGCAGAAAGAATTGACATTTTCCATGACACCAAAGGGGAAAAGGAAGGAACATTGCACAGTTTTTTGGATGCATAACCAGGTTGAAGGTCAAACAATACAAAGTAGTAATACAAATTAAAAGTAATCATGGTCCCCACATAACCCACTTGTATATTCAGGTGAAGGCATGCCTGTGCGAGTAGAAAGAACAAGGAGAAGAGAGGGGAAACCTAATGGGGTAATTGGGTAGGGGGGAAGAGGGGAAAGAAAGTGTTAATAAGAAAGAAAAATGAAGATACCAAACCATAGAACAACATTTGGCAAAAATCTGTTACCATGTATTATATATTTTTAAGTTTAGTTAAAGGGCAAAAGACATGCACTCCACTCTAAACATGACAATGATACATGTGAAATAGTAAGATCATTATCCTGATTAAAATAATCAGTGTACTAGGTTCCCTGCTGCTGCTGTGTACCCCATTATATATAAACACATATTTGAAAGTTAGAACACCAATGCCTACTAACTGACAGACGTACAGAAAGCTGCACCATGTATGCTGCGGTTCTTGTTTTCTTTGGCCTTTTTTTTTTTTGGCCCTTGGGCAACATAAAGTCACACAGGAAATGACTGACTGTCTTTCCCAGGGGTTATAAATAGAAGAGCGAATGTGTGTTAGACCCCATTGAAATGGAAAACTTGAACTTTCAGATTCTGGTTTGTTTATACCAGACCAAATTGGATAGAAATAGATCTGCTCTTCTGTCCTTGGGAAAGGCTTGCTGTCTTTCTAACAGGTGTAAAAATAGACCTGCGGGTAGTACAGGCTCCTTTGGTCTACTTTTATTAAAGGTTTGTGGTTTCTGAGCCGTCAATGTACAGGCCAATAATAGAAATGTTGTGCTGTAGCACCTGCTGCCTGAGGTTGAGGGGACAGGAAGATGTTCTGCTGCAAGGCATTGTAAACTGCTGATTGCTTCTCACCTACACTGCACAGCTGTTCTGCAAAAGATCACTGCTCTTACAATGTTTGTGTCTTGTGTTCCAGGATAGGATCTGCCAGCGATAATTATACTGAGCTGGTGTGCCGTTTAATGTCAGTCTTGACAATGTTATGTGCTTTTTTTTTTTTTGCAGCTGGATCCCCAGGCAGTGCAGAGCAAGAACTGGCATGTGGATGTCATAGAGATGAATGGGGTGAGTGACAAAAGGCACACAAGCTGTAGGTGTATGATATAGTTACTGCTAAGGATGGTCAACTAAGGGGCAGAACCTCCCACCAAGAGGCCACATCCTCGGGTTGTCTTGGCTGTCTATATACTGCCATACACACATTGTCATGCGTTGACACGCATTGTGGTGCGTTTCAACATCAATGGGCTGAAACGCACCATAGCATAACATTTTCCTGTTATTGTAAAGGGCTGCAAAACTGTTGGCGCTATATAAATCCTGTATAAGAATAAGAACAATAACATAAAAAAATGGGGAGGGGTGCATTATCCTGCAGTCCAACACACAAGACACCATTTGTTGTATTGTGCTACAGTGCACGCACATTTTGACGGTGCTTTGGGGAGCCATTCACAATGAATGGCACCGCAGTATAGCAAGTGCAGTAATGCAGCCAAGTGGTGTAAATAGGCCATTAATGTGGTCTCATTGGGGCATACCCCTCACATCTGATGTGATCATCCCAATAGGCCTTAAATATTTCATGCTGCTTAAAGAGCCAGTCAACCCAAAAGTGGTATTTTCATTTTCTCGTACACGCTGCACCTGATAATTTATTTTATTTTGAGGACACACTTGGTGAGATCTTTGCACTTGAGTTACTGGGTCTGTACACCTCCTGTGGCTTAACCCACCAGACTCTAGCTATAGTTAAATCATCACTTCTGGTGGTAGGACCATTTTGGTGCCTGTGTTTGGGCGGGTATAGATGGCAAACAAGCTGCGTGTGGGCCAGTGGATATAGGTCACCAGCAGTGCTGGAAATGTTCATCCAGTACTCATTTCTTAATAAACAAACATAGGCAAAAACTAGGTGAACTATGTTGCATTTCCGGCTCAATGAATATGGATTTGTGTTTAATTTTTGGTTAATGCTTTTTACTTTCAGGTTAAAGTTGAGTTTTCTATGAAGTTCAGCAGCCGAGATATGAGCTTGAAGAGGACGCCCTCTAAGAAGCAGACGGGTGTTTTTGGAGTTAAAATCAGTGTGGTGACAAAGTGGGTGGATCTCCTTACTCTCTCTAGATAGATCAGTAGAGTACTCATTATTCCCTATATGGCACTTCAGTTTGACTTTGACCAATTAGCACCAAAGCAACTGTCATAAAAAGTGGAGCTTGTCTATTGTAGAGCCAGTGAGTACTGCTTATTACAGGTGGTCTAATGAGCACATCTCTGTCTGTACCAGGCGTGAGCGATCCAAGGTGCCGTATATAGTGCGTCAATGTGTAGAGGAGGTGGAAAAGCGTGGCATTGAGGAGGTCGGGATATACAGGATATCTGGAGTGGCCACCGACATTCAGGCCTTGAAAGCTGCTTTTGATGCAAGTAGGTTTTAAGTGGAATGAAATTGGTAATAGTTAAAGAAAAAAAACCGACCTTATGGACATTGATTGTTTCTGATTTCCTTTATAGATAGCAAAGACATCCTGATGATGCTTAGTGACATGGACATTAATGCCATAGCTGGGACATTAAAACTGTATTTCCGTGAGCTCCCTGAACCACTCCTTACAGACAGACTGTATCTGGCTTTCATGGAAGGAATTGGTATGTGACACTCTTGTTTTACCTTATTAACATTGAGAAAGGAGTCAGGCTGAACCCTGTATATCTCTAAAATAGCATTTAAAAGAAGATGATTGTCATTCAGTACCAGTTAGATTCATTTGTAATTTGATGTGTCTGCTTACATCATTCCTTACTGCTGTATGTTGGTGGCAACCCCGATTCCCAGTCCTCTAAAGTAAGCAATCTGTTCAGTATCACCTTGTAAAGGTGCCCATACACTGTACGATAATCGCGGGAAATCCCGCGATCGTACGATAATCACAAAGTGTATGGAAGGCGTGCGACCGTTACTACTGTACGATCGCACGTCTGTCGTCGAACAAGCAGGCTGGAAAACCCGCCGAGAATCGTACGATTCTCGGCGGGTTAGTGGCGTGCTTGTTTGACAACTGCCGTTCAGCATTGCAGTCATCGGAAGCCCGCCCCTCAGCAGCCTGTCCATGATGGGCAGATCGTACGTTTTTTAAATTACTTTACAACCCTGGCAAGACAAAAGTCTTGCCAGGGTTGTAAAGTGTATGGCCACCTTAATACTTTTAGTCTTGGTACCAGCTGCCATATCACAGCAGTGAATCTTCAGTGGTTTTGGGGTCAATACAGAAGCTCAGTTCCAGTTCACCCCAAAGGTTTAACATTGCACTCCAAACATGCTGTTGTGGTAGTATGATATGCAGGCCCAGATTTCCCACAAGGCCACTGAGGCCCGGCCTCAGGGCGGCAGCGATGACCTTGTGGGGAAGTTGCGGGCGCCGGT